CATCTACTTATAGCCCTTCACCACAACTTCCAGCCACATAGCAACCTGTGGCCGCTTCACACAGCTAATCTCATCTTCATCAACTGGTCTTTTTATTTATGGCCCACAGGTACACTCCAGGTATACCTTCATGCCCATATTCCCCAAAACCTGAGGGAGACGAGATATCAATGGAGATGGGTTACACGTAGACACCCACAAGGATTAGTAGACACTTTCCTGGAAGAAGTGCCGGGTCAACCAGGATGTCTTAGATACTTGGGCCTGTGGACTGTTGCAAGCAAGAGCCTGATGAACCAAGTTATCACAAGACACTCCTGGCTCCAGGCTGGGCTTGGGAATAACTCTCAGAATCCCCTCCAAGATTCTGTAGGAATGTACAAGAGGACCCGTACTGTGCCGGCACGCCAATGGCTTGACGGAGAAAGTAGAATGTTACATATTAATGTTGGACAACGACGCTAAACTAAACTAACCACGACAGTTTGAGGACAGCACCACGAAGATCTACACAAACCAAGAAAGTGGCTACCAGACACTACCAGCAAATGAAGGGCGACTGGAAAGGTTCCAGGGTTCGAGTCTCAGACCCCATGTGAATGGAATGTACATGTTGTATAATACTCTTTGCAAAGGAATGTGATAAGCTTGACAATGGAGTGATGGCCCATTAAATGAAAGTTTCCTCCAAGGAGTGCCGGACCAACCGGGCTGTGGTGGGTATGTGGGCCTGCGGGCCGCTGCAAGCAACAGCCTGGTGGACCAAACTCTCACAAGTCAAGCCTGGCCTCGGGCCGGGCTTGGGGAGGAGAACAACTCCCAGAACCCCATTAACCAGGTAAATAAGATCAATAGCAATAATGGGGAAAGTGTGACGTTGTATTTTCAATTTTGTGTTAAACAGAATGTAGAGTAAGGGTCAACACAACAACAAGTCCAAGTGAAGTGAACAGTTGTGTACCTCAAGGAGCAGTCCTTGCACCACTGCTCTCTCTCTCTCTTATCTCAGATACACACAAACATACTTGTCACAGTTTCATGTCATCCTTTGCGAATAATCAACATGGAAATCTCTTCCGTAGAAGAAAAACTACAAGCCTATATTAAGTCTTCGTTTTGGCAACTGCAAATAACATGATAAACACAGCATGCTTAGCAGTAATAAGTCCCAAGTACTTGGGAATGGAGGAAACTAGGGACAAACGATATACAGGCTACACGACACAATCACATTTACTCACAAGCAAAATAGCATGTGAAAGATCTGGGAATTATGAAGTCTGACTACCTGACATTTAGTGAAAATAACCAAGCAAATATAGCGGCGGCGGCGGCCAGGAAAATAAGGATTACGAGAACGTTCAAATCCAGGAACCTCACAGCAATACTAATAGTCTTTAAATCCCTGGTGCTGCCCCATCTTGAGTATTGCTTGGTACTCGCCTCCCCTTTCTCAGCAGATAAACTACTGAAATAGAAGGAATATAGAGAATCTATGCGGCACACACAGACACTATATAACACCTAAATTACCGGGACTCAAAAAGCTCTCAAAATTATTCTCCGGAAAGGAGAAAGAGGTATCAAATAATATATTCATGGAAGACACTGGACAGGTCCCAAATGTGTAGTAAAATAGCAACCTTCTGGAGCAAAAGATACGGAAGGAAATGCAGAATAGAAGCAGTGAGTGGTAGAGGGTGCCATAGGCACCATTGTGCCATTATGAGGTAATGGAGGGACAAACTCTCGTTCTGGTGGACACCTGCCCTAACCGACTGCCATGATGGTACAAAACCAAGCAGCCAGTCGTTCTGGTGGACACCTGCCCTAACCGACTGCCAGCCATGATGGTACAAAACCTAGCAGCCAGTCGTTCTGGTGGACACCTGCCCTAACCGACTGCCATCCATGATGGTACAAAACCAAGCAGCCAGGAACTGAATCAGAGTCGCGAGTTCGAGTCACTCCAATGCCTCAAAATGGTTTTAATTGTTATATGACGTCATTGGGACTACTTGGTGATCAGAGAGTACCATCTGAACATCAGAGGTCCAACAACTGCTCAATATACTCCCAGCAAGCATTACAACATTGTCAGAACAAAGGTGGAAGTCTTCAAGAAGTATTTAGGCAAGTCCTTGCAAGAAGTGTAAGACCAACCAGGCTTTAGTGGCTATGTGGGCCGCTCCAAGCAACTGCCTGTTGGACCATGTTATCACAAGTCGAGCCTGGCCTCCCATGGCCGGGCTCAGGAAGTAGAACAACTCCAACACCATCTCCAGGTATGGAGGTACAAAATGAAGGAAGAGTCGAGGAGGAAGAAGTGTGGTAGGACAGGCTACAGGTGCTCCAAACCTGTCACCAAGCCCCGCTACAAGACCAGCTGGTAATAAGTGCACAAGTAACAGGTAGGTGAAGCGAGGGGGGGGGGAGGAAGGAGTGTAACAGGTGTGAGTAAATGCTCGCCGCTGCTACATCAAGGTGAGGAGTAGTGTTGGCGTGAGTCACTCAATACTCATGACCATTATGAGCAGCACAACTTGTGGCGCGGCACCACACTCACACTCACAAAGGCACTCACTCCTCCCACCACCACCACTAAGCACTCACGTGCTCAGGTTATGAGAACAAATATATAAAGCTTCAAAGCTAGGTCCAGTACGCTCGCCCCCCCCCCCCACAAATATCAATGTTACACCTGATCTGAATAAATCAACCAATTATAACCATAGTAACAAGATACAACATTCTAGTGTACACAGACACGCTACTGTACACTTTCAAGGTTGTAACTCATCACGAAGGGCGAGTTTACATTACATACCTGCAAGAGGGCACACACGTGCACGAACGCCCTATCCTCACACTTACTGCGCCGTAATTTTGACGTTAACGTGGAAAAACGTACCGGCGGAAAACGTGATTTAGTGAAGTAAAAGACGGTAACAATGACGCTTCCTGTAACGGGCAACTGTGTCTTGAAGGTTGGCCGGGTTACCAGGCTCGGTAACGCCTCTGTTTAGGCACAACCACTCCAAATGTGACGCTTGCCAACATCGCCAAAAACTGAGTAAGCAGCAGTAAATAGTCATCATTAATGTCCAGTGTATTATAACTCCCGAGCATCACTACACCTGGTCCATGCAAGTAAGGGGAAAATCACTGCCGCGGACGACTGCTGGAGTACGGCGGCCAAAACCACTCATAGTCAAAACCAGCTGATTTGTAGGCGACGGATTACCCCCCCCCCGTCCTTCTCCACAGAGCGCGCTTATATCAACAGCAGTAGATATATACGTACACGTACCTACGCGCGCGTGTGCGCCTACGTGTACGTGTGCGCGCGCTTTCCCCCCCCCCCTCGTCCTTCCCCACAGAGAGCGCTTACATCATCATCAGCAGCCGTAGATATATACGTACACGTACCTACGCGCGCGTGCGCGTCTCTCCCTCCCCCCCCCCCCCCTCCCTCCTACCCCGCCCCCCGTCCGTGCCAGTGCAGCCAGCCACATTTCTTGGGCGGTGTGGCTAAGTACCTCCCAGGTGGTTATAAACAACCTCCACCAACTATGACAGCCTGTATATAGCCACTGTGGATGCCAGGTACAAAACATGTAAACACCAACACAATTCACACTTTTGTATCGTTATTTAGAAATCCAGAGGACAAGTTAAACAACCCTAACACCCCCCAGGCCTAGTAAAGTACACAATGTGCTAAATTACATCTACGGTACCGCATATTAGGCCTATGACAGTCAAGGTTTATTAACAGTTTCATTTGTAGTGTGCATTTTATAATTACAGTTGTACAAAACAGACCATCTCGGGTCAAGTCCACTAGAAAAGTGGCTAGAGGTCTACCACGTTTGGCGGAGTAGAGCTTAATCCCCCGGTACTAAAGGTCAAATTATTGGTCTCATATTATACAAATATTGTATGGCTATTGTTCATTGTTAGAAAAGGCGGTCATTTATTGGAGCATCACCACTAGCGTCACAGTCGGTGGCGAGGGAGGTCATGGACAATGGCAGTAGTATACTCTCACTCGTGTCTATGTAACAAACTAATTTGCAGTTTAATTACACACCTTAGGGTTATCTTGAGATGATTTCGGGGCTTTTTTTTAGTGTCCCCGCGGCCCGGTCCTCGACCAGGCCTCCACCCCCAGGAAGCAGCCCGTGACAGCTGACTAACACCCAGGTACCTATTTTACTGCTAGGTAACAGGAGCATAGAGTGAAAGAAACTCTGCCCAATGTTTCTCGCCGGCGCCTGGGATCGAACCCAGGACCAGCGTGCTGTCCGCTCGGCCGACCGGCTCAAAAGCGTATTTATCAGGGTCAACTAAGATATTACATAAAGCGTGTAATTACACCATGTTTCTTCTGACATTGGCGATGGCCAAGTTACAATAGGTCGACAAACATTTTACACGACAACTTATTACATCAGCCCTTAACAGTGCTGAGCCCTCTCGTGCTGGCGTTTAATTACGGGTGCTGGAAATTATTAAACTGCCCTCACGCGCCTCTCCCACAGTAAACTACCAAACATAACCCACCTACACCCACACAAACATACAAATAATGTATTTATAAATACGCTTTTGGTTTCACAATTTTTGTCTAATGACAAAGATGTATTTGTGGCAAATGTCAGCCTGGACGGGAAGAGTTTGAAGATGGGTTGGCAAGAGTAAGAGCAGCAAGTGCTTAAAGGTGGGAGGTGGGAGTGATTGATGAAGGAGCGAGTAAACATTATGATACAAGTAATGGTAGTGGGAGCCGGTGATGCTGGCTGGCTGGCTGGCTGGCTCTGGTTCAGTATTGCCTTCACGTTTGCCTAATTAGGGACGTTGGCAGTGACAATGAAGATAAAACACTTACACTCACACATTGCCAAACCTTCTACAACAGCCAATCAAGTGTAAAGAGTGAATGAATGAAGCGAGCGAGGCGGAACAAAAACAAGGGCAGGGGAAGGAAAAGAGCTTACCTCTCGCACCTTCTGTATGAGGAAGCAGGAGGGGGCGAGGGCGGTGCAGACGTAGGCAGCGTCAGCGTCCAGGCACCCTGGGAGGGGGTCTGACGCCCCTGCGGCGGCACTCATGGCCCCAGGGCACCACCACCACCCGGCCTCCCCCTCCCCTCCGCTACACCCCTCCTCCTCCCTGCCGCCCCCACCCAAACTACACTGGTTTGTGTGGGGGCCGCTGATGCTGCCGCTGCTGGTGGTGGTGGTCACTCTGGATGAGCGTCCCGTCTGGTAGTTATGGTAGTGGTATCGTGGAGTTGGTGGTCTTGAGGGCCGTGGCAAGAGGGGCACCCCCGGGGTACGGACACGGGGCGCCACCCCCAGGGTACGGACACGGGGCGGCGCCCCTGGGGGTCGCGACACTTGAAAATGTGGGGCCCGAAAAGTGCGGCTGCCGCCCCTACGCCCACCAGCAGCGGGCGACGGTGGTACTAGAAGGGCGCGGTGCTCCACGCCCGCGCCACCCCTGCCGCCACCATCCCTCCGCACGCCCGCGGCCGACACGGCGACCAGCGGGCTGCGGCTCACGCCCGCCGCCCGCAACCCACCGCCATGTCGCCGTCGCAAACCCCCGGAGACCAGGTGACAGGTGGCACAGTGCCCACCTTGGCACCGCAAGACCCGACACAGGTGGGTCACACCGTCACTGCCCGGGCACTGCCACCTTCGCCACAAGGTAACACATCAACACTCCTCCAGTACACGCGGCGAGCAGCAGTAGCAGCAAGAGATCAGAGGCACAACACCCGGGTTACTACTACCACAACACCGTCCCCGCCGTCATGAACAGTGTGTTGTGATCTACACCCAACACTAAGCGTCTGCCTCCAGCACCAGCAACACTTGTAATGTCCTACTAAACACTCACCTTCCACCATCACTACACCTAATACACTCTAAACATTACACCATCACACTTAGTAAACAGTTTATTTCAATACAAACAATACACTAGTCACGGCATTTTCTGTGTAATATACATCTTCAACTAGTTTATTATTGTGATGTATTGTTGCAGGTAGAGCGCCAGCCATCTGGCCGTGTTGCACGTCAAACTGGCCGCTCTTGTTATACACGTTACTCTCTACACTACACCACAGTTACTGGCCTCTGTTGTTTATACACGTTAACCACTCCTCTACACTACACCACAGTTACTGGCCTCTGTTGTTTATACACGTTAACCACTCCTCTCTACACTACACCACAGTTACTGGCCTCACTCTACACAAGCCCTCCATACTGTAGTTTGGTGGGAGGGGCGCCAAGCAACCCTACAACACTGTAGGGTGGGTCAACACAGCAAGGTTGGGTCAACCACTTCTCTACACTCAAGGCGTCTAACAGACAACCACTATCACCTACATTATGTAAGCATCACTTCAATTTAACAATTATTTACTGTAACTTTCAAATTTCGAACATTTTGCCCACTAATTTGTGAAAAAGCAATTGACCCAAGACTTCAACACCCTTGTCTATGGTGTAGTTCAGACAGTACGGTAAACAAACGGGGGCAGGGGCGAAATTATGGAAATTACTGATCAACTTGGCTGTTTTTATTTTCTCAAAGTGCGAGCAGCAGCGTCTAACAGCCTGGCTGACCAGACTATCCATCAGCCAGGGGCCCTGGCACCGAACCACGGCACATTTATCCTTGGCAATACATGCGGGGGTTGAGCTCTGGCTCTTTGGTCCAGGAGGCCTGGCACCGAACCATCCGTCAGCCAGGAGGCCTGGCACCGAACCATCCGTCAGCCTCTCAAGCCAGGAGGCCTGGCACCGAACCATCCGTCAGCCAGGAGGCCTGGCACCGAACCATCCGTCAGCCAGGAGGCCTGGCACCGAACCATCCATCAGCCAGGAGGCCTGGTGTACAGATTTCTGAGCCTACTGGGCTCTATCATATCTACGTTTGTAAGTATGTATGGAGTCAGCCTCCGCCACATCACTGTCTAATGCATTCCACCTGTTAACTACTGACACTGAAAAAGTTCTTTCTAACGTCCCTGTACGATTGCTAATGTGTATGCACACTTCTGTATGAATGAATGTATATGTACAGTATGCATGTATATTTTATTTAAAATTGATGGCTAGATAGATATGAGGTACCACTTCTGGTTGTGTTTGTAGGGACCCTCAGCCTTGAAGAAGAGAATATGTAGCATCCAGGAGCAGCCTTGTGGAGGTCCCACACGTATTAATAAACTGAAAGGCTCTCCACCAATACAAGGAAAATATTATTGCCACTACCGTTCATTAAAAGTGTTGTGGTGGTGGTGGTGGTGGTGGTAGTGGTGGTGGTGGTGGTGGTGGTGGGCCAGCAGGTGGTGGCCTCGCTCGTGGCTCGTCCACCAAACCCTACAGTCTCCCTACTCTGCCTCCTGGACATTCCCGGGGAGTCACACATCATGGACCATCACCTCAACATTTGGAATTGCGAGAAAATATGGAGGCTTTATAATGTACTGTAAACGTCATCCATATGCACGCCCATCCCGGGCACACGTGCTGCACGCCCATCCCGGGCACACGTGCTGCACGCCCATCCCGGGCACACGTGCTGCACGCCCATCCCGGGCACACGTGCTGCACGCCCATCCCGGGCACACGTGCTGCACGCCCATCCCGGGCACACGTGCTGCCTACCCAACCACCACCAGGTACAGTAGTACCACACTTGTGGTACAACACAATTAACACACCTGTGAGGAACACGCACGCTGCAAGCCTCCCCACACAAACGTTGTTGTTAAAGATTCGCTACCTGGAACAAATAGTTCCAAGTAGCACGGGCTATGGTGATCCCGTAGATAGTTATGCCACACAAACGTTGCCTGTAGTTGAGGCAAAACAAAAGTGATAAGTGCGGTAAAGGACAAAGGCAGATTAGAAGAAGGTATTATGTGAAGAAAACCATTACTGTAGTTATTATAAAACAACTTTGGCGTGAAGAACGCGCCAGCTTTAGTGACAAGTGTGGGTGCCAATTATCACATTACCACACACCAACATTTAAAAACCTATACAGGGACTCCTTACAAGAGATGGACATAATATGTACTGTATTAGCTCCGAGCTGCGCGCCCACAGACACAACCAAGTAATCAACCCAAGAAGTTAAAGACGCTCACTCTACCACCATGTGTACAGCGACCAGTCACATATACCACGTACATATGGAAGGATAAAGACGCTCACTCTACCACCATGTGTACAGCGACCAGTCACATATACCACGTACATATGGAAGGATAAAGACGCTCACTCTACCGCCATGTGTACAGCGACCAGTCACATATACCACGTACATATGAAAGGATAAAGACGCTCACTCTACCACCATGTGTACAGCGACCAGTACTCTAACAGCGACCAGACATATACCACGTACATATGGAAGGATAAAGACGCTCACTCTACCGCCATATACGACGTACATACAGCGACCAGTCACATATACCACGTACATATGGAAGGATAAAGACCATAAGTTTTTTCCAGACGAAACAATTTAACGTTGAGGTACAAGTGGAAGGTGCAGACAAATCGGACATTAGTACTGATATGTGACTTAAGTGGGAATCACGTTGAGCTGAGAGCAGAGGCGATAGAAACAACTGCCTCAAGGTACTAGAGCCTCTGCAGGAATACACGCACCCAGCTACTGAAATAACTACATCAATTAAAGAACTAGATGCCGACGTTTCAAGTGCATGTGGGTACGCGAGAGACACACTACAGACCGCCATGATTCAAAGTTCTGGGAGAACACAGACTCAGTGGTATACATCTCCCAAGACTGCACCAGTCATTTGGACACTTTCCTCTGTCAGTGAATGTCCTCTTATTCTAGTTCAGCTATATCTTCCTGTGTGGGAGGGGGAGTGGTAACCATGCACTACAAGTAGTCCTCGGGCTTCAACAGTACAACTCTCTCAACACACTATGGTAAACTACAGGTAACTGCCAGTACACACAACACAGGGTCAAGGCACCACCACCAGTACACACAACACAGGGTCAAGGCACCACCACCAGTACACACAACACAGGGTCAAGGCACCACCACCAGTACACACAACACAGGGTCAAGGCACCACCACCAGTACACACAACACAGGGTCAAGGCACCACCACCAGTACACACAACACAGGGTCAAGGCACCACCACCACACACAACAGGGTACACACAACACAGGGTCAAGGCACCACCACCAGTACACACAACACAGGGTCAAGGCACCACACACAACACAGTACACACAACACAGGGTCAAGGCACCCACCACCAGTACACACAACACAGGGTCAAGGCCCCACCACCAGTACACACAACACAGGGTCAAGGCAAGGCCCACCACCAGTACACACAACACAGGGTCAAGGCCCCACCACCAGTACACACAACACAGGGTCAAGGCACCACCACCAGTACACACAACACAGGGTCAAGGCACCACCACCAGTACACACAACACAGGGTCAAGGCACCACCACCAGTACACACAACACAGGGTCAAGGCCCCACCACCAGTACACACAACACAGGGTCAAGGCCCACCACCAGTACACACAACACAGGGTACACCACAACACACAACACAGGGTCAAGGCCTCCACCACACACAACACAGGGTAAGGCACACAACACACAACACAGGGTCAAGGCCCCACCACCAGTACACACAACACAGGGTCAAGGCACCACCACCAGTACACACAACACAGGGTCAAGGCACCACCACCAGTACACACAACACAGGGTCAAGGCACCACCAGTACACACAACACAGGGTCAAGGCCCCACCACCAGTACACACAACACAGGGTCACAACACAGGGTCAAGGCCCCACCAGTACACACAACACAGGGTCAAGGCCCCACCACCAGTACACACAAAACAGGGTCAAGGCCCCACCACCAGTACACACAAGACAGGGTCAAGGCACCACCACAAGTACACACAACACAGGGTCAAGGCACCACCACCAGTACACACAACACAGGGTCAAGGCACCAGTACACACAACACAGGGTCAAGGCCCCACCACCAGTACACACAACACAGGGTCAAGGCACCACCACCAGTACACACAACACAGGGTCAAGGCCCCACCACCAGTACACACAACACAGGGTCAAGGCACCACCACCAGTACACACAACACAGGGTCAAGGCACCACACACACAGGGTCACCCCACCACACACAGGGTCAAGGCACCACCACCAGTACACACAACACAGGGTCAAGGCACCACCACCAGTACACACAACACAGGGTCAAGGCACCACCACCAGTACACACAACAACACACACAACACAGGGTCAAGGCACCACAAGTACACAGTACACACAACACAGGGTCAAGGCACCACCACCAGTACACACAACACAGGGTCAAGGCACCACCACACAGGGTCAAGGCACCACCACCAGTACACACAACACAGGGTCAAGGCACCACCACCAGGGTACACCACAACACAGGGTCAAGGCACCACCACCAGTACACACAACACAGGGTCAAGGCACCACCACCAGTACACACAACACAGGGTCAAGGCCACCACCAGTACACACAACACAGGGTCAAGGCACCACCACCAGTACACACAACACAGGGTCAAGGCACACCACCAGTACACACAACACAGGGTCAAGGCACCACACAAC